AAGATGATGTTTAAGGGGACCGAACAACTGAAAGTCACATGACAGGTTAGGTTTTCACAAAGTCTGTGGACGATGGGTGCCGTGCATGCTGACCCCACAACACAAAATGCAAAGAATGGGTCTGGCATTACAGCATCTCAAATGCTACCACAATGAAGGATATGATATGCTAGCCCAAACTGTCACAGGTGATGAGTTTTGGGTTCACCATTACCAGCCCTAGACAAAGCGCATGTCAATGCAGTGGAAACATCCTGCGTCACCTGCCAAAAAAAGTTCAAGGTGACACCATCCTCCAGGAAAGTGAGGCTCAGAGTCTTCTAAAATCACAAAGGCAAACTGCTCACCGCATTCCAGCCTCAAGGACAAACCGTAAATGCCGACTCCTACTGTAACATCCTCAGGAAACTTCATAAGGCCATTCAATGGAAGCATGGAACCTGTCATGCATCATGAGGTATGCCATGCCGTGTGAACACGCCTGGTTCTGACAGCAGCACAAAGAATTTTATGCTGCTGGTTTTCAGGGGCTTGTGAAACGATGGACAAGGGCTTCAATGTACAGGGAGATTATGTTGAGATATAAAAGTATTTTTCAAATCAGTACTCTTGTTTAAGTTCTATATCCATTTGTAACTTACTTATTGACTTACCTACGTATCACAGCAAGTAAGAGTGGGTGGGTAGTATCTCTTCTATAGAGGAATTCATATCAATTTTACACTGCAAAACATCACAGTTGCCCTCCACCACCATCTTTCTGTTTGTAGGTAGCCTCATCCTGTCCTCCATACTATATTTTGTGGCAGGGTTGGGCAAGATATGGCCTGCAAATGAATTCATATCTGCTTCAGGTTGGGGTTGCTGTTTCTATATATCCCTCTGACATTAAGGGAGGAACATAGATTTAGGGTGTTTTAGAATGTGGTGCTGAGGAGAATATTTGGACCAAAGAGAGATGAAGTGACAGGAGGTTGGGGAAACTACATAATGAGGAGCTCCATAACTTGTACTCTTCGCCAAGTATAATTAGAATTATTGAGTCAAGGAGTATGAGATGGGCAGGGTATGTAGCATGCAAGGGGGATATGACTAATGTATATACGATTTTGGTTGTAAAGCCACATGGAAAGAGACCGCTAGGAGGTCCTAGATGTAGGTTGGAATAATAAATGGATACTAAAGACACAGGATAGCATAGTATGGGCTGGATTTATCTAGTTCAGGGTAGGGAGCAGGACTTTTGTGAACAAATTAATTTGCACTAGACCAGTGATTTGATATTGGCTCTCACTAATGGGCCAAACTGGCGCCTCTACAAATTTCCACCTGATGAATGAATCAAAAAGTTACTGCAACATCATGTTCTTTAAAATTCTAGACAAAGGACAAAGCCAAGAAACAGCCCCCACAATAATTTGTGTGAATAGTGCTATCTTCAAGGAAGCAGCATTACGAATTGTGGCAGAAGTTATTCTAAATTGCACACAAAATGTATAACTCTGCTTGCCTACTGATTCCTGGTAGTTATGTGGTTGGCTTGATTTCCCCTCTGGAAATTAGAAACTGAGAACCAATGATAGCGTTGTTTCCAAGCTGGGGTGATATCATAAACACTCCTTCAGACATGTCACTGATTATGGTAACCTCTATTAAGGCCTGTCTCCAAATTTTATTTTTGGATTTCCCAAGAGCTGTTGTTAACACAGCATCCTCTGACCGGCTTCCACATCTGAATTATTTCCTCATTTAGTTGGTAGAGGCACTATTCTACAAGCTGGAAGGTTGTGGGTTCAATCTCTGATGAGGGGCAATGGTATGCATTTCAGTTTGGAAGCTCTGAGAAGTGATAAACAACCCTACATAGCACACTAATGTAACAGAAGCTTCCAAAAATTAGTGTTAGTTTTCACTTTGACTTTTAAGGAACTGTGTGCCTTTTATGTACAGTTTTGTGTTTTTACGGTTCATGTCGTAAAGAAGACCTAAAATAAAATCTTTGGTGAGTCAAAAATTATTGTGTATCATAAAAGCAAATAGTATTTAGATGTAGTGTGTTCGCTTGACATCTAATTCCTTCTTAATTTTCCAGTTCTCAGTTTCTGGGTACACAAGGGGTAATAGCAGATACTGTGGTAAATTTCAAGTGTAATTTTTGTGTGTGAAGTGCATAAAGTGCAAGTCTTTGTTGAATATTTTGTTATTAAATTAGAGGCTGAGCTAAATGACAGCACTATTCATTCATTGCTTTATATTTTATATTGATTTTGGGGGCAACTGGTAATGTACACGTATATTCACCCATACTCATTAGATAGTTTAATCTGTATCTACATATATTGGTTTTAGTGCCTTTGAAATGATTATTTTATGTTCTTATGCTGTGTACTTTCAAAATCTGTGTCTGTTTCAGTCATAATACTTTTGTGTTCCATAGCACCACATAGGTGAATAAATGGTAAGATCTGTATGTTTCTTGTTTCCAAGTAGTAACTTCTTCTCTTAGAGATGTGGCTTTGTTGCTTATACATGATAACATCAGTTGATTTCCTTCATGGATAAATGCTGTAAAATTGTAAAAATTCAAAGAATAACATTCTATAGCAGCAGACCCAACATGTTTAATAAAGCAGTTCTGCTTGTGGATTCAAAAGCAGCCATACAAGCCATATCCTCAAACAAAAGAACTATCATGAGACAGATAACTGAAATCAAAAAACTAATAAAACTACTGGAAAACACAAAAAAGATTATATACACTCAATGGATACCATCACATGTTGGCATCAATGGAAACAATATTGCTGATGAACTGGCAAAGGGCACAAGACTGCATCACCAAAATAAAATCTTAAGTGCCCACATGCTAGCTAACAAAATCAAAACTAAAACAAGTAAAGAAATACTCCATACCATCAACAAAGAACCATAAAACAAGAAATGGTCACAAATAGGAAAACTTTGGGAAATTAACCTTTATGAGCCGAAGGACACCGTATGGGGACCTTTAAAGTAAAGCCGAGTGGCTGAAAGACACCGTATGGGTATGCGCAGTCCATGCGTGCGCACAGTGTTTTAAAATCTAATTTTAAGATAGAAATTCTTGTTCTACTTACATTATTTTTGGACACCAGCTTTATAAGTAGACTGTCTTCCCTCCTGCATCATCTGACTGAATGTTGCATGTCACTGAATGCAGAGTCCGACATCGCAATTCATGCATTTTTTTCATAATTAACTCTGTTTTCCACGTGAAGCGCACACACGCAAATATCAGTCTCGTATTACCAGGAAGTAGGTCAGTGATGGCGAGTGGTCTCCTGTATTCATAACGCTTATAAAACATCGCAATTTCAGCTATGCACCATGGCCCCTTTTCGCATTGAAAAAGCTGAAATTGAGAAGCTGCTCGTAAATCAAACCATTCACAATGTGGTACACAAGACTGAAAGCACGTAGAAGAAAGGGGCCATGTGCGGGGCTTTCTACATTACTTTGGACACCAGCTTTATAAGTAGACTGTCTTCCCTCCTGCATCATCTAACTGAATGCAGAGTCCGACGTCACAATTCATGCACTTTGTCTGCATGTAACTCTGTTTTCCACGCGAAGTGCACACACGCAACATCTGTCTCGTATTAGCAGGAAGTCAGCCAATGTTGCCAATTTGCCTTCTCTAATCATAACGCTTATAAAACATCGCAATTTCAACAATCCCCCATGGCCCCATTTCGATTGGAAAAAGGCGAAGTTAATAGGCAGCTGATAAATGTTACCGATTTAGAATGTGGTACATAAGACTGAAAGTACGTAGAACAAGGGGCCAAGTGCGGCCCTTTCTAAGAATCTTAACAGTACTTCTTGTGTGGCAGATACGTGTATACACAGACAGTCTCTCTGAGGGACGTGACCTCACTCCTGTATACAGAAAGGTTGGAGTGCTATAAAAGCATAAACATTTCCTCTCCTCTTGAGAGATAAGACACAGTCAGACAGTGTGTCATCAGCATGCATGTGTACTGCAGAAACTGACTGCATATTTGTGGACAGACGCTTAAAATTGGGGATTTTTTTTTTTTTTGGAATCACTGTAACATTTTTTACAGATTCTAAAATCTGTAAATTACAATAGCTGATTCTATATTCTTTCTAGATAAAAGCAGCGTTTATTTCGTTCGTTTATCACAAAAATTGTAGAAATCACAGCATTTTGAGTAACATGATTACAATTTTTATTACTCTACAATAGCAGGCATTTAAATTAACTCCGTCCCACTGCCACTACTGGAATTTAAATGGCCCGTCTCTTAATGGTTAACAGGAAAAAACCCAGATAAGAAGCTGTTGCAAATTTTTGATTGAACACAGGACACAACTGCCTTGCAGCACATCTTTGTAAGATAGGAATATCTTATCTGTGCAACTTGCCAGGATCATCTATGGGAAAAGAACACCTCCTTTGATGCCCTAATCTTAACAAGGAGATACAACAAAGCAAGAACTTAAGTGCTCTCTACTGGGAAGCAAGAACCAAATGGGTTAAATGATCCCAAATGCAGCCACTGGAAACCAACCAACCAACCAACATTCTATAACATTCAGGGTTGTGTGCATGCACTTCCTATCCTTTTTGCTGTAACAAGCAACACTGTGGCATGCTACAAGTCACATTCTGTTCTCTTAGTCCAAACCCATCACTACTGCTCTATGATTTGCTACACATACTGCGGTGCGTGTGTAGATGTGTTTTCAGATGAAAGCGATGACTGAATGACTTACTACACACGTCACAGCAAAATGGCCTCTCCCCAGTATGTATGCGTTGGTGTCTCTTCAGATTACTTTGCTGATTGAATGACTTATTACACACGTCACAGAAAAATTGTCGCTCCCCACTATGTGTGCGCTGATGTGACATTAGATTACTCTGCTGACTGAACGACTTATTACACATGTCACAGCAAAATGGCCGCTCCCCACTATGTATGCGTTGGTGTGTCTTCAGATGACTCTGGTGACTGAATGACTTATTACACACATCACAGCAAAATGGTCGCTCCCCACTATGTATGCGCTTATGTGTCTTCAGATAACTCTTCTGAATGAATGATTTATTACACACGTCACAGCAAAATGGTCGTTCTCCACTATGTATGTGCTGATGCGTCTTGAAATGGCTCTTGCGACTGAATGACTTCTTACACACGTCACAGCAAAATGGCCGCTCCCCCCTATGTATGCGTTCATGCCTCTTCAGAGAACTCCGATAACTGAATGACTTATTACACAAGTCACAGCACAATGACCGTTTCTCACTATGTATGCACTGATGAGATTTCAGATTACTCTGAACACTGAATGACTTATTACACACGTCACAGCAATATGGCATCTTCCTATTATGTACACATTTATGTGACTTTAGATTACTCTGAACACTGAATGACTTATTACACACATCACAGCAATACGGCATCTTCCTACTATGTACACGTTGATGTGACTTCAGATTACTCTGAACACTGAATGACTTATTACACACGTTACAGCAAAATGGCCGCTTCCTACTATGTACGCGTTGATGTGACTTCAGATTATTCTGAACACTAAATGACTTATTACAGACGTCACAGCAAAATGGCCTCTTCCCCCTATGCACGCATTGATGTGATTTCAGATTCCTCTGAATACTGAATGACTTATTACACATATTACAGCAAAATGGTCGCTTCCTACTATGTGTGTGTTGATTTGACTTCAGATTACTCTGAACACTGAATGACTTATTACGTACGTTAGAGCAAAGTGGCCGCTTCCCACTATGTATGCATTGATGTGACTTCAGAACTTCTAGCTGACTGAATGATTTATTACATACATCACAACAAAATGGCCACTCCCCATTATGTATGTGCTGATGTGTCTTCAGATTATTGTGACAACTGAATGACTTATTACAGTCTTCACAGGAATATGACAGCTTCTCATCAAGCATAGGTTGATGTTCATAAATAGTCTGCAAAATGAGAAAAACACACATGAATAGCCCTCCTATGATAAGAAGTAAGTTTAAAATCCAAGTACAGATAGGAGTTATGGGGGTAGGAGACAGAGGGGTCGAAGAAGGTGCAGTGAAGAGAAAAAGAGGGAGTGAGTGTGCGCTAATGTGTGGATGTACATCCATCGGTTTACATCACTACTTGTGAGTGAACAAAAGTTAAGCTACAATTCCATTATGAAATGAATTACAAAAGTAAATAACATTATGCATTTGTACGGCTGTACAGGGCCTGAATGTAACACAGAGCAACAATAAAAGGTGAGTTAAGAATTGACTTGAAGAGAAGCACAGCTACCCCGACAGAGTAAAAAAATTCATGTCAGTCTCCTCCAACAGTGCCATGCAACATTCCCTGACAATGAACATTTTGGTATTTGTCACTCCTTCCAAATGTGTGAAATTGTAGTGGGCACACCACACTGTGTAGGGGCAGATATGGGGTACCTTGGGTCAGGCAATTGTGCCTAATTCGAAGGCCTGTAAGCATGACTTCCCGCTTCCTGATGGAGCTGAATGACTGCCACACCAGGACACATGGCCGCACTAACTGCAATATGTAATTCTCTGTGTCGTCCGTGGGTCTTGCCAGGACAGGATTAGAATGCAAACAAGTAAAGCACAAGGATTATGATACAGTGATGATGATAAACCCTCAAGGAAAACGGCTTCACTGGTTGCTGCATTGGCAGGCTCATTACTCAGCATATCCACCAAGACAGATACCCAGCAAAAGGCACCTCCATATGGAGGTGGTAAAGCAAATGGCCCTGTGCATGTCCATTGGACTAGAAATCAATAACAGTGTCTGTGAAAGATCACAATGCAAAAGATAATGTCGGATGAAAAATAAATGTGAATATGTCAAAGTGGGCAACCTTTGTTCAGAACATTAAACAATTAAACTGTCCCTGTTTCAGTTATTGGTTTCAATGCTTCATAGTGGGACTGGGTGTCTAGGTACATACTGTACATATCTTGTCACAGAGCTCACGTACCTACTCCAGACCTTCTTGACAACAAAAAAGAGAAGAATATAGAATAATAGAACTACACGTATGATAATGAGCAAGTAATGTAAAAAATTATAGACACACTTGGAAAGTACGAAAAACAATGGATATAGAATTGAATTTTGTGCACCACTCTGTACATTTCCATACACTCCAGATATTCAAGGGGTATTTCTGTTCCAAGTATCCATAATAGGAAAGGGAAGTGTCAGGCATTAAATATGCCATGGTGATAAAAGAGGAGAACTACTGAATGTGGTACAAGGTAGTTCAAATATGACCGTGACTAATTTGTGTGTAAACAAGCCGCACTGCACAGCAGCTGTGTGACCTTAAAAGAGTGAAGCCACAACCTCCAACCTCCCTCCTGTCCGGGTTAGAACCTGTTAACCTTTAAGAGACGGCCATTTAAATTCCGGTAGTGGTAGCGGGACGGAGTTAATTTAAATGCCCGCTACTGTAGAGTAATACAAATTGTAATCATGTTACTCAAAATGCTGTGATTTCTACAATTTTTGTGATAAACGAACGAAATAAACGCTGATTTTATCTAGAAAGAATATAGAATCAGTTATTGTAATTTACCGATTTTAAAATCTCTTAAAATTTTTACACTGATGCCAAAAAAAACGTTTCCCTCAATTTCGAACATCTGTGCACAAAAATGCACACAGTTCCTGCACAAAACGTTTCTGCAGTCTGAATGCCTGCTGCTGACATCATTTTATAACTATGGCTTACGTGGCAACGGGGGCGGAAGTTTATGCTTGCGTTCCTCATTCTCCAGTTCATAGCTTCCTTTCGGTATGTGCACGAGTGTGGGCGAAGTCTAATTGTTCACAGAAACACTGACTGTATTATCTCGTGTAGACAAACAAGAAGTAGTCTGTTTTGAAATATAGCCGAGCAGTGTCAGAATGTTTAGCTGTCCACCATGGCCTCGTATTTGGAACTGAAACTGAGAATCAGCTTACAAATGACACCGATTCAGACTGTTGTACCGATGACTCTGAGAGTTGCGAGGAAGAAAGTGAATCAGAAATTGAAGTCGATGAAGAACCATCATCTTCGTCGGCAACCTGGGGACCACCACACCAGCGTGGCAAGAGGAGTGTGAATAATTATTCAGGTGGAGCTGTGGGCAAACTGTGGCAAACAGTTATAGCATCTGTCGTCGAACCTGGAAATGAACAAATAAACTATTTTTCCGTCTCCTGGATCTGAACAGTTACATCCTGTTGTCACAAAGAGAATTTCATCTCGCTCTTGTGCGGAACATGCTGGAAGGGGTCCACCTCGCCATCAACGGCCCAGGGGTCGAACCCCTGCCGTTTTATCGGAGATATCTCGATTATAGGAGGCCAAACCACATCACTGGTCGACTTCCTCTACTTCGCAATTGAGGTGTTGTGTGTGCTTTTCGCGTGGAAAACGAAGAACCGTCCGGACAAAGTGCGTGAAGTGCGACGTCGGACACTGGATTTCCGGATGTTTCCAAGATTTCCACACGAAGCCAACAGTCCGTTAGACGACACAGGTGGGAAGAGAGACAACTTATAAAGCTGGTGACCAAAAATCATGTAAGTAGAAAAAGAATTTATAACTTAAAATTAGATTTTAAAAAGCCGGCCGCACACGTGGAATGCGCAATGACATATGGCGTCATTCGTCCCCTTGACTTTATTTTCATGACGCCATATGGAGTCGCTCGGCTCTTAAAGGTTAAGTCCTGTCTGGGAGTTGCTAGAGTGATGAGCAAACAGAAGGTACCATGGAGCATGGAACAACGCATTGTGATCAAATTCCTCAGAGAAAACGTCCCGTCCGCTGAAATTCACCAAAGGCTCCAACAACAGTATGGGGAAGTCTCTCTCTCTCACGGACCAGTGTTTGGGTGGTGTAAGTGCTTCAGAGAGGGCAGAGAGAATGAACCGCATGATTGTTGGCCACGAATATCTGTCACCAAGCCAAACACTGATCGTGCAGATGCGCTTATTCATGAGAATAGGCGCATCACTATCAAGGAACTTGGAGCAATGCTGTCCATCAGAGTTGGTAGTGTAGAAGACATCGTGAAATACCACCTGCACTATCGCAAGATGAATGCACGGTGGGCACCACACACTTTGACGGATGTGAACAAAATGGTGCGCATGCAAGCTGCCAGTCGTCTCCTACAGCAGTTTGAAGATGAAAATGATACATTTTTGAAGTCCATAGTGACCACCAATGAAACGTGGGTGCACTACTTCATTCCTGAGTCCCAGCAGTCATCACGCAAGTGGTGACATACCAGTTCTCCCAAACCCAAGAGAGCGTGGAGGAGCCATTCAGCAGGAAAAGTGATGGCAATGTTCCTCTGGGACTGGCAGGGGGTTATCCATGTAGATTTTCTGACAGATGCCAGAACAGTCAATGCAGCTTATTACTCAGACCTCCTGGTAACAGACGTGAAGGAAAAGATCCGATCCAAGTGGAAAGCGGGTAGCCTTCCTTCAAGATAATGCATGCCCCCATACGGCCAAAACAACAATGGAAACCATCTGGAAATTGAAATGGAACCTTCTGACACATCCGCCGTACAGTCCTGATTTGGTCCCAAGTGATTTCTACCTGTTCGGAAGGCTTAAATCAGACTTGCAAGGCATGCGGTTTGTGGACGACACTGTCATCCAGACTGTTCGGGAGTGGATACGCCGCCAACCACAAGCCTTTTTTGAAAGGGGCATCAGGATGCTTCCAGAACATTGGAAAAAATGAGTTGACTCCAGAGGGGAATACATTGAAGACTGACATGTGAAAGTAAGTGTTTGGCAATTATGGTATTTAAAAAAGAAAATCAGTCCCAGTCATATTTGAACCACCTTGTATTTGCTATGTGGTCTAAGTGTATCCCATGCTGCAGGAACTTGTTTACTGAGCCCTTGCTCAGCCTAAATCCTGTACTACAGCTTTCATGCACCATGTTACATTGCACTCAGAAGCTGCTGAACGAGATGTTCTCTATGAGGAACAGATCATATCAGAAACTCAATATGTAGTGAAAGGAAATAAGGTAATTAGTTCTTCCCATAAATTCTTGTATTTCTCAAAATATCAAAGTTAGTCTAAAAATAGGTAAAACTTTCCTTTCCCTCCAACTTTATTCTTTTAAAATGTGTTTCAACCTCTTATTTCTTATGACTGTAAGTTGTTCAGTGTAGCAAAAGTTCATAAATTGAGTGTTTGCAAAATGAGGGGTACTTGCATTTGTGAAATCCTCCTAACATGGACACAGAGACCCAGCTCACCTCAGGTTCAGCCTTTATTCCTGGAAATGGTATTGTGAGAGGATCCTCCTCTGCTTCTGCATCTGACAGTACCTCGGCTTTTATACTGATGTCTTGATCTGTATCATGAGAAGATGCTGGGCATAGCTCACCACACGGACCTCGTACCTGTACTCTCTCCAAATCTGCAGGGTTCTGCAAATCAAGAAATGCCACATCTGTCATGGCTGTGCATTCAGATTACATATAAGAAGTTCTGGGAAGAAACAATAGCCTATTTTTTGCGATAAGACATGGATCGCATAGAATATGACACATCCAACAATTCTTCCATTTTTGTGTGTTTTCATTCCCATGGGATTTGTTTACTGAGACATTGCCTAGCAACTGATCCACTGCCCAGCAACTGAATCACTGCCTAGCAGTGGGATACACATGAGAACTATGTTAAATGGTACTTGGAACCAAGAACAAAAATATCGTCATGGGTCCCAATGAGACCCAAAACCAAGAATGGCAATGGTGGTGAGGTACAGCAGAAATTTACCCCACCTGTCCCAATTAGCCGTGGTAAGCAGTCACTATAGGAGTGCAGACACTTGGGAGCTGTAGGACATAATTACCGAGCCGTTGCCTAGCAATGGTCACTTCCACGGCGCATCTCTTAATGCATTATTATTCTGGCTTTCAGGCACCATGTAACATGTCACAAATGATTATGTGGTATTGTAAGGGTCGTCTTGTAAGGCTCCACTGTTCTGACTCTCAGGACTTAGGGGGTTACAGACAAGCAGCAAGGTGATCTCATGAGACTCTAGTTATTTTCCGGAACAAGCAAAGCAGGCAATGGCTCAGCAAACAAGTTCCCCCAACAAACCATATATAAGCAGTGATGGAAAAACTATTGGATGTGGATACTGTATGGAAGGGGGGTCAAATATCCCCACTGTAGACCTGCAAGTTGTAAGAGGTGACAAAAAGGGAACCCAGGGCCTGGGGGTATAACTGGGCCACCATGTTCCTGAGAGATAAATATGGGGACTTAGCCTTCCAGGCTGGGGTAGTGTTGAATCTGAGACAGCAAAATGTGGTCATGAGTCCCACAGGACTCAGACATGAGAATGATCGTGCTGGCGAGGAGCAGCAGCAACTGTAAATGACAGACCTAACCTCTTGTCAGAGAGGATGTTACATAAGGACTATAACCACAAGTATTCAGTAGGAAAATAAAATTACTGGCTGAGAGAGTCAAGGGGCTTGTCGCCAAGACAAACTGATTGGCAGTAAACCACCAGTCATAAAGTAACTCTCTCCCTCCTTCTCATTCTCCCCCTTTCTATATACATATATATTGGACACTGTCTTCTCTATGCAGTCTACGTGAATTTGATGCTCCGAGAACGTGTCCACTACTATGGCTTTCATACGTCATGTTACATTGCATTCAAAAGCTGGTGCTTTCTATGTGATCCAGGTCATATCTGATACTCAATATGTAGTGAAAGTAAGGAGGAAATTAGTTCTCCCCAGAACTTCTTACATTTCTCAAAACAATAAAATTAGTCTAAAAACAGAATACATTTTCCTTTTCCATTCTATCGAACTGATAATAGCTGTTTTGTACAGATTTCTTCCCTGCAACTTCAAAATGACTGTAAGCAACTAATCCATAGAACACAGTTTCCCTTTAAAAGTTAGTGGTCACTCAGCTAGGCTAGAATATATCTGCCTTCTATGGTACTAAAAGTTCATTACCATGTTTGCAGAAGCCTGTCATGGATCTGTATCATAGGAGAAGCAACTCCAGTTCAAACAACTGGAAAAGTGCAAGCGATATGATCAGATGAGTCTTGGAGGATGGAGGCGATACATTCCTCTGAAACATCAGCTTACACAAAATCTACACGACGCCACATCCTACAAGATGGCATTCTTCATGGCCAGTGATATGATCAGATGAGTCTTGGAGGATGGAGGCCATACATTCCTCTGAAACATCAGCTTACACAAAATCTACACGATGCCACATCCTACAAGATGGCATTCTTCATGGCCACCATTGTGAAAACCTCAAATCTTACGAGGGATACCTGTGTTTGCAAAATCCCACAACATGGACACAGAGAAACAGCTCACCTCAGATTCAGCCTTTATTCCTACAAATGTTAGCGGGACAGGCACCTCCTCTTCTGCATCTGAAAATACTTCGGCTTTTATCCTGATGGCTGGATATGCATCTTGAGAAGAAGCTGGGCATATTTCACTATGCAGACCTTGTACTTTCTGTAAATCTGTAGGGTTCTGTAGAGCAAACAATGCCGTATCTATAATGGCTATGCATTCACATTACAGACAAGCAGTTTCGGCAAGAAAAAATTGCCTACTTTCATTTCATAGCATTTTGAGTATTTAATATGACACATACCAGACACTGCCTCCATCAGTTATTCTGTTTTTGCATGTGTATTTGTGGCTGCCAGATTATGTTTACAGAATCATTGCCTATGAATATGGGGGGGGGGGGTTCACAGACAGCAAAGTGATCTCATAAGCCTCACTTTTATCCTACTTTCCCTTTAAAATTGTGTCTTTGGACATTATCCACAGTCCTGTTTTTTCTATTTAAAACATGACATTCTGGAGACTGGTTCTGTACCTGTCTTCAGGTAAAACTCCAGTCAGCTGGGCTCAATCAATAGAGATAGCCCCTCTCTCCGGACACCAGCACCAACACAACATAGGCTATATGAACCAACCACAACATAAACAATCAGTGACAGTTAAGACAAATATGAATAGCATTAAGAAATTCTACACAAAGCCTAGCACCTATGTCCAAACTGGGGTGACTGATCAGATGATCTACCAAGTAAATATGGCCAGATTCCGTCCATTTCCTGTAGATGGTGTTTGGTTCAATCTACAAAAATGCTCCGACCCCTCACACATGGTTCATATTACATTTCAAGGTGTCAGCTTGGAAGACCTGGCCAGGAGACTAATGGGTTCCCATTACTATCAAACAGCCAACTCGCTACTACTGGAAAACTCAAGAAAATTCCTGAAGAACAGCATATTACTAGTGGATACTACTGCAACACATTGTTATGATATCTCACCTCATTCATGATTAACACATCACAGATATAAATTCTGATAAAGCAATATATATATATATAAATTAATGCCTTCCATCTAATTTCAAGATAGCATGAAAGATCAGTGTCAATGTCATATGTCATATAATGTTCATATGGTGTTGCAAAGTCAGTCTCTTCTGGATCTACTCTTCAAACTTTCAGCAGTTAGGGGGTCATACACAGAGAGCAAGGTTTGTATCATATGCCTCCATTTACTTCTTCAGAAGAAAGAAAGTAGCCAATGGCTCCATAAACATGTTCCTGCAACAGCAAAAGAACTGCTGTACACGGTATTTTCTGTGTGGTCTGAGTACATTTGCTCCTGTGGGAACGTGTTTACCAACCCACTGCCTAGCAGAGGCTGTCACTTCTGACAGTTATATCATTCAGATATAATATATTATAACTGCTATAATACCTACAACACCCATAAAGAAGGGACCACATGGATTATGAAAATTAAGATAATTTTGTCATAAAATATTTTATCTGGTCTTGTAAATCCAGGGATGAAGACAAAAATACTCTTTCCCATGTAAACATGCACAAAACACTCACCATGGTTTCCCTCAGAGCTGGAAATACTTCAGCTATGTGTAGCACAATTCTTGGCACTCTTGTTGCAAGAGAGTGTAGAATTCTTTATAATCTTGCAACTTGTTCCTCACACAAGATGTTTTGTGGGCTGGGGAGGAAGTGGCGTACAGCAATCCTACTGGTATGCCTTAAGAATCCTGTGTGTCAGCGTCCAACTCGCAATAACTCTCACAGCTGCCGCTCACGACTTGTCATATGTCCTCGGTTGAACCACACAGAAAACACCGCTTCCAACAGTTCTGCATTGTTGCGGAAATGTGTCTACTGCACCGCTGCCTAGCAACAGCCGATTAGACAACACCGCGTCCTCTATTCTTGTGCCAGTTTGTTGCCTTGGAAGTGTTTTTGTGTCGCTACCTAACAGTAACCGCCTCCATTTGTTCCACTATTCAAGGTTTTACCATCACGTCACGTTTTCTTATCTCATGGAAATACAAACTGATATGGGACGTGCTCTCCTGGATGTAAACACTATGAATGCTATTAACTCTAGTAACCTTACAACATCCTTCACCGCTCTTAGTCCTAGGCCTTTGACATCTGGCACGATCTGGGACGGCCATGTCATCTGGCACATTGCTACCAACGTTGCGAACGTTGCAGGCTCCTGCTGCCCTCGAAACCCTCGAAACAGGTCTGCCCTGTTACAAGAAAGCGCAGTACTACGTCCTAGTCGTCCTAGGCAGGCTACAATAGGCCAATCAGTGGCCGCCGTGCCGACTGGACCCAGTTGGACTCTACCCCCAACTAAGCGAATTAAAAAAAAAGTGAATTACATTTGTGTTGCTTGATGATCATAAGCTTTGGCGCCGGCGGTGGATAAGACATTGCCTTTTCTGGATTTTGGAAAATCGGACTTTGAAAAGAGAAGGAAGTTACCAAATATTCATACAGAATTTATAATTACTTTTAAATGTGTATTCATTTATCCTGAATACCGTAGTGCAATCAATCAAATTAGTCTTAAATTGCTTAAATATAATTTTATAAGTAAATTGTCTAACTACCCTTCCTTGGAAAATTGGTACCCCCCTTGATAAGAAAGTCCTGGAGTCGCCCATGTTCATGATGGATTTGAACTCCATTTGAAACGTGTCTGCTCACCAAATCTCTTTTCGCGTTACATCTGTTCAATTATTCATGGTCACACTGGAAAAACCTTGAATTAACCATTTATTTTATTTTTAAGTCCTTACTGGTATTTACACGGTGGTGCGTCTAAGCTCCCACAAATTTAAGAGGATTTAGTTCTCAGTAGTACAAGAGCAACCGAAATAAATTGCGACCATTTTCATTCCTGATCTCAGTCTCGTTCCAATGGATTGTTTTCACAGTCAGACAAGAGCAATTGAATGCCCCTTTTTTCACTCATATCACAGTCCCCTTTTACATGTTTTCTCCTGGAACCTGGGAAGTTCTGAAACTGCGCAGAAGGAATTTTTGGGTTCGTGTTCAGGGTTCACCTGTGCTATTATCTGTGATATGAGTTTCAAATATACAGTTTATTATTTCGCTCATCGGAATGAAAGTGTTCGTTAGCTAGAACGCGAATACGACTTGTGTATTCCAGCTCTCAAGGAGGGGGCAGGTATTTAAGCAGACTGAACGTATCTGAAATCTTTTCTCTCTGCAGCAGATTGACAGTACCTCGAAACGTAATCAGCGCGCTTTCCCCTCTTCGATCTCTTCGGGTTGATGGTGTACTCCCTTTTCTGCGTTCGTGTTTGTGTAGCTATAAGAGTGTGTCCAATTATCAGTTCAAGGTCGTGATATGGCACGGTAGAATACATGTCGAAATAAAATAAAATAAAACTTCCAAAAGTAATGTTAATAATACGTCCTGTCCATCCTAGAACCAGGGTACGTCATACATTGCGTAGTCAACCCTGCAAACTAAAAGTTCTACGTGTTCGACGAGCTGTAATGACTCTTCTAGGGATCATTGTTCATAGGATGACCGAATCAATGCCAACAGTAAAGAAATATTCCACATAATTATATTTGTAAATAACTGTTCACTGCCTTGCGACATCTGTAATAAGTTAACATGGAAGCGAGAGCAGTGTGTGTGTGTTACTTCTGTTAATTTATCGTGCATTTGACGTAAGTTTTGCCCTGGTGATCGTGACAGCAAGAGCTGTCGATTGTGGGCGGGAATTCCAACAGAAAAACAACGGCCATTTCTCCCTTTACGGAGCTCCAAAAATTTTCCAGGCTTAATCTAAATTTGTGTGCTGTATATCAAGGGATATTTTGATATATTTCTAGTGTGAAGCATGCAGTCCTAAGTTTAGTACGTATCTTGTACTGTATATAGTACGAACTCCAGAATGGCGAAAATTTTATAACACATTCCGCAGTTACATCTGGCCATCTCAGTTCCCTTTCTTTTTTTACGATGTGTGGAAATAGGAAGAGAGTTTTAAAATAAAAATAATAAATATTACCGCACACAGCAATACCGGAACACGTGTATGTCTTTTTGAAAATTAGTCAGGCTATAGTTCGAGCTACACTAAGAAATTTCGTCTACATATATTTTTATTGTTATTATTATTATTATTATTAGAGGGGGTGGGTTTCCCCATGCACTTAGATCAGTTATTGGTCCATTGTGCGTCCCCCTTTAAGGCCGTCTACACACGGAGCTACTCAAAATAAACTGATTAGTGACGCAAGTTACTAATGAGTCCGCAATGAGTCACTTCCAATGTGACTGAATGGAACACCACACAGCGCTACTGATCAGTAACGCGTTACCAACCCGTTAGTAATAAGTTCCAGGCAACTCCGCGGCCAAGTCACTAGGGTCAGTAGGGACTGAAGTAGCTCAGTTTCTTGGTGACTTTCTTCAAGATGTGCGAACAACAGCTGAATCCGTTATTTGTAGGAGAAGTTGAAAAACATCCTGTTTTGTACAATTTTACGCTTCCTGGATATTCTAAGAAAGATGAAAGTGAAAAGACATGGGATGAAGTTGGAAAAAGAGTGAATATGACAGGTATGTACTATTTTATTTTTTAATGTCGCAGAGTGGAAATATTAAAAAACGGTTCGAATATGAATTAATTATTAATTAATTATGTAAGTATATACATAATTAAGTGATTATGAGGTTATAATTAAACTGTGGAGAGTTTTCGATTTCAAAATTAGTTAGGTTATATTGTAGGTTCATAAACAAAATTTCCACTGCCAGGGTAGAGATGCTAGTGGGGTAAGAAAATAGTTTGCCAAATAACTCCTCAGAGCCGTTGCAGGAGAATTAATGTGTATTGTCATGTTTTGTGGTTGAGGTTGTACCACACGGCTATCAACTTCACTTCCCGTAAATTCGTCAGTTGGCATGTACTGAAGCCCCTTTCGTTTTCGTACATAGTTGTGAAGAACGCAGACAGCTTTGATGACAAAGTTCATGTACTTTGGATCCCTGATGCGGATAGGACCATTCAAAACAGCGAACTTCTCGCAGGCCATGCCAAAAGCACATTCAATTGTTTTCCTTCCTCGGCTCAATTTGTAGTTGAAAATTCTTTGAGGGTAGGGTCTCATCATATATCGCGCCAATGGGAATGCTTCATTGGCAACAAAGTAATAAGGAAATGGACTGTCACTATTATCGTATTTCAATGGTGAGGCGGGAGGGATATCGAGTCTGTTATTCAGGATCCAATGTTTTATGGCTGAGGCACGGAATATGCCCCCATCGCTGTTTCTTCCAGCATAGCCGGTTTCGATCATTGTGAATATACCGTCGGCATCGCAGCAAGCCATTAACACTATCGAATGATATGATTTATAGTTGAAATTAGTAGAGCCAGTATTTGCAAATTTCTTGATTCTGACATGCTTGCCGTCTATAGCGCCTATGCAATTGGGAAGATTCCAGAGGGATTCAAATCGTTCTGCTGTTGCTCCCCACTGGTCCCTTGTTGGGACATGCATGTCAGTCTCCTTCAGCGTTTCCCAAATCGCTTTTGATGTCTCAGCCACAATGTGACCAACTGTGGACTCCCCTCGAGCAAAATACGCAGCAATCGATGTAAATGTTCCACCAGTTCCTAAATATCTGTACAAAAAATCAATAAAATTACGATGAGAAATCTTCATAAATATAAAATGAAAAAATTTGTTAATATCTTTTATATATGAGTATATTTTATATTTTATAAATAAGAAAAGAAAAATGGTCAGGGCACCACCAGTTAAGCAATAATAAATTTGTTTGTTTCAGTGGCTCAATGCAAAGAAAGATGGAAAAACCTACGTGCTGTTTATACTCGAAACATGAAATGCTCCAAAAGTGGTTCGGGAGCAAAGCCAAAGAAAGCGTACTACCTTTTAGAAGCTATGCAGTTTTGTCTTCCATATATTAAGGCATTAGGTACGCCTTCAGGGAATTTACCCCGTCCACCACAACAGGAAGAAAATGAGCTATTCGAAAATAATGACACTGGAAGTATAGTATTGCCAGAACCTCCTTTATCGCAACAGGAGCTTCAATCGCCGCCGCCACAGCCACTACCACTGCTCTCCACTCAAACTGCTGAAATGTCTCAACAGTGGGAAACTCTGCCTGGACCTTCACCATCACATCATATACCGAAGAAGAAGCGTTTCGTGAACAATGAAGCAGTTGACAAAGCGTTCATCGATTACTTTCAGGCCAAAAAAACCAAAACGTTGACCAAAACAGGCCTTGCCAACCAGGATCCAAAAAGTGAGGGGCTGAAAATGTTCCTTCTAAGCATGCTGCCTGATCTTCTGAAAATGTCTGATGAAGAGGTGCGACATTTCAAGCGTAAGGCCCTAGATATTGTTGACAAGATTTTGTCAACGCGCATGACTGGCTCCTCTCAGATCGCATCTTCATCCCAAACCACAACTTCATCTGTGTCGGGAGTGTTGCTTTCACCAAATCCTGCTCACGTGCCTGATGAGGCACCGCAATACACCCCACTCACGGTTCGAGTAGCTGGAGGAGAGAATAATAGCAGTCCAGCAGCAGAGTATTATGAAGCAGTTCATGAAGCCTTGCATAGTGACACATACTAACGTTACACTATATGTATATACAAGGGGGGACCCAAAAATAACCAGAAACGACCTGTTGCACGCGCATGCTT